TTAATGATATATCCTCTTGGACAAGCAGACATATCAACTTCTGAACTCAGATGAACATTCCAACTTTCTGAAGAAAAATAATCGAAACCCTTCTGATTATCGGCCTGATATTGCTCATCAGGTTAGTCGACTTTGAAACTATTGGCCCAATCTTGTTCTTTATTACTCATCATAGTATAAACACTATGACCTTCCTGTAGAGTTCAGATTAAACTTTGTCCTTTGAGGCAATATTTAGAAGTGGGGCATAGGTTGTGACATTTCGTAATGGTAACCAGCAAAACTTGATGTCTCAATGTTTGTTAACTTTTTGTGGAGATGTCTGGTAGAGTGGCATGCCAAAGCTAAAACAAGTAGGCTGTAACACAATTTAGCTTTGTACTGAATGTGTATGAATTTTCCTGGAGCTCAATTAGTTGACACTAAAGCATACTCCCTCTGTCCAATTTGATGGTATTTGTCTGGATAGGATTTTAAAAAGGAAGGAAGAGTTCTTTCTCAAAAAAAAATGGGAAGGAAGAGTTTCGACACATAAGCTAAATATGTATAAAGTACCAAGACTATCCTCTGTATAGAAGTATCTGTTTATGTGTCTAGTGGACTCATGACAAGTCATGTTAATGGGACGAATGAAATAGTAGAAGATGTAGGAAAAGAGAATGGAGTGTAAAAATTAGTTTTCAAATATATAAAGGTGACAATCTTTATGGATGGAAAAGAACAGGTGGAGTCACTTAGTTCTTCAACATACATTCAATGATTAAGTGTCTCACGGACCCAAAAAAGAAAAAGAGAAACTAATATGAAAAGTTAGATGCCTTGTCCACCCACCGGCCTACAGTATTCTGCAACTCAATCTCTCTCTATGCTATAGATCTGTGCATCGCTGTTCCATTTTCTTAGTTCTTTTAGTAAGTTACATCACCTTGCTTCTGCTATAATTCTGTCTGATTCAGATTCTTTGTATTTGTTGGAACTGTAGTAGAAATGAGTTGCTGTGCATCACTGACACTTCTTAAGTATACATTTTCTTGTTGAAATAAGAAAGGGATGTTTTTTAGTTCTCCAAACAACTTTTTAAGCAAATCCTCCCCTCCCATTTCCTTCCGAAAAGAAGAAAAAATCTACAAGCAACAACTACGACTCGGTCCCAGTCTAGTGGGGGTTGACCAATGTGAGCCTCACTATCCATGTCGCTCCATTTAAACTTGTTTCCATCCAATATCTTTAAAGAAAAGGTTATAACACAAAGTATTACCTTTACTAGCATGAAAATATCTAACAAGACTAAACAGCTCATACAGGACATGGGACCCAAAGAAACATACCAATATGACTAAAGCTTGATTACTGGAGCCTTTTCATGGTCAGGACAATAACAACTGTTACAAGCTTTAATGGAAGATTCATAATAAGGGATACTTCACAGTGAAGTCTTGTTACTTCCGCTTGAGTTCTGGTGGGCAACAAAGGAATCCTTGGAGATGTTATCTATGTGGAGACAAGTCTTTGAGTATCAATCATTTATTTTTGCACTGTCATTTTACGGACCAGCTATGGAAACTCTTTCTTAATATGGTGGGACTAAAATGGAGCATGCAGAGTGTACTTGTGAGCTACTGCAATGCTGGAGCATCATAGGCAAACCAATCAAAGGAATTGGGTGGATAACCATTCCATCTTGTATATGGTGGGCAGTTTGGAGGGAATGAAGTGCTAGGTGTTTTGAAGATAAAGGAAACTCTGTTCACAAGATTAAGATGAACTATTTACTTTTGTTTCATTTTTTGCGTAAACAGAAATTTGTAAATGATTCTGAAGCAGTGATAGAACTCATAGAATCCCTTTAAGAATAGGAAGCGTTCTTCTGTTGGTAATTGTAATATTTTTGACAGCACCTCCTTGGTGCCATATTATAATACACTTTCCATTTCTCAATTTATGATACTTCTTTCCTTCCACAGGCAATGCTTGCCATTTTAGATAGCCGAGTAAATAAAGCTGGGTGATTAAAAGCATTGTATGTGAAGACTGGGAAAGGTGTCCGTCCTCTTTGAAGTAAAACCTCATGTTTGTATCCCTAGGACATTTAGCCGATTCTTTGGTATCATGTGTAAGTTATCACCTTGAGAAACTTTTCTTCCCTATCTGTTTTCATGCTTTCATTCCATCTTTGTTTTGTCAAATTCTGCTGTTTTCTGATGTTGCTTCAAATTCAGTGCAGCTGCTACAAAAGCTGAGCATAACTGCTGTAGGTAAACGAGAGAAACTGTTACGTGTTAGAAAAAAACCCTGTTTCACAATACCTACCCATTGGCTGCCGGAAGATAGGTGAATAATTTTGTGTTCTTAGTTCCTCCCTTCTCTAATTAAATGTCCTTTTCAATTGACTAATACTTTTACTTCTCCTCTTATGCTTCAGGCTTTTCTCATAGTTCTGATAAACTGGTGGACATTCAGGACTATGTAAATGGAATTAGCAATGACATGAACCTTGTTTTTGTGGTATGTTCTACAGTTCTAGTGAAATTTTCTATGGACAACTTCGATTTGTGGGTATATATGTATTTTTTTTTAATTTCTTTTTTGTTTTTTTCTGATAAATTTGTGGGAAGTTATAGCTTACTTGATCAGTTTATATCTGACATATGCAGGTTGGGGCAATGGCCCGTGGAAAAATTGAGAAAGATTATGTCGAAGACTATCTATCAAGTTAGCTAATTTTTCTTCTTTATTTTTCATCTAATATTTATTAATTAGAGTTCCATAGTTTGTTTTCTATTCCTTTGTCTTCAATTTACATGGCTGGGCTTTGGTCTAGTGGTAAGATTGCAACACTTATGTGGGTTAGGCACACGGTTAGGGGTTTGTCTGGTGTTTAAGTGGAGAAAGGTTGAAAGACTGGCCCATTATCCACTGAGTTTAGAACCGTGTGCCATTGGCCCTCGGGATTTTGCTGTTATAAAAAAATGTACATGTCTGGTCTTTAATGCTTAGGAATGTCAACATTTGTTATTTGTGTCTTTGTATGCTCAACAATTGTTGACACGATCACACGGATATTATTGATCTTCTTCAATGTAAAGGTAGTATTCAAGTGACATTTATGCCTTTGGCAATTGAAAAGCAAATAGGTTCTCACTGCAGTAGAATATAGTTGGAAAATTCGAATCTTAAACATGTTAGAGATTGTTCTCTCTTCTATGAGTTGTTTGGTTCAGTATTCATTAACAATAGGGGTTCCACACTGCACGTATGCACCTTAACATAATGCTTCTGATCTCCAATGTCAACTGCCATATACCATAGCCCACTTTTACTGATAAGCTTGACGAGTTCTAGTATAGTCACCTTTACTTCTATCCTCTTTAACCCGATTATAACTTCTTTTAGACGAGAGGTATGCGTGCATGTTCTATTAAATGCTAAACTAGGTCCATGCTATTTTCTCTAAAGGGGTACCATCATCATGGAAATTTTTGCATCTTTTCTGGAGTTGAACCTTGTCTAATTAATCATCTAATGTATCTTGCAGTTTCTGATTACCCAATGAGTGCTGCCTACTGCATATCCATGATCACAAATGTTGTGGAGCGCAAATGGAAAATTTTGTAAACTTGTACCTTACTCTGATTTTTGTTGCTACATTTAGTTTCTATAATGTCATCTTAATTTCACATGTATTCTATTCTTATATTTAAATATATTTTTGTTTCTTGTCTTTTTTTCCTTGGTCATTAAGTTTCATATCAATGCAATGAAGGATTAGTTGGTAATCCAACTTTCTCCGGTCAAGAATTTAGTGGAGTTGGCCTTTTCTTGAAAGATTAAGAAGGTGATATTTGACTTTTTCTTTATGGATTGTCCATTTTCAAAGGTTGCAGCAATATACTAGGTATTTATTATTAAAAAAAACACAAGTAGAATGATTTGCACTTTTTTCTAATTGGAAAAAATAAGGTTGACACATGTTGACACATTCCAAGTACATAGAAGTTTCAAATATGACTGACAAATTTGTTTTTCTGGAAAACGATGGGAGCGTCCTAATCTAAAAGTAGTTTTTAAAACACATTCAAATTACTTAAATTATTTTTACAAAGGAAAACAAAAACTTTTTCCAAAAACACTGCTCATTCAAGAGCAAGGCAGACATCTAGTACAAGATTCAACACATTTTATTTATGGTGTGAATTTAAATATCAATTTTTAAAAAAAATTAAACCAACTTTAAAGACTACAAAAAGCTACTATAAATTCCCTGATAAAATCTACATAACAAAAGAGGGAGTTGCTCGGATAAACATCTTTACTTTAGGAGGTAGGAGCGTAGCTATGTTATTGGACACCCTTCGTCGGAAAATAATATCGTATATATAAGTATAATGATATATGAAGTGATTAAATAACATATTTTGGATACCTTGACAAAACATGGTGTTGTAGCCTAGTAATTTTAGACGCCTTGAAAGAGTTCGTGCTTAGGCTGCTTACGTGTTCGAATCTTTGGGAAATTACTGACTCCGCCACTGTCAAGAGGGTAAAAAAATAAAAATTTGACTAACTTTTTTGCACACCCGTATACCATTTCGATTCCTATGAAGCTCTTATTGGGAGCTATGGTTCTCTAGGTTCGACAAAACTTAATAACTTTGACTTAAATTCTGTTATTGTGTTAAAAAACTACTTTAAAATAATTTGTTTAGTTTTTCCTGAAAATCAAAGTTCTAGTTGCGCCTAAATTCTCTTCAAAATGGTAAGAGTATTATTATTTTTGTTCCCTATAAAATAAAATAAAACAATATAATGATGTTTTTCTTAAAAAGAGAAATAAAAAGGTGAGTTTAAAGAATTGTCCTAAATTAACGGTAGGCGGTCAGGTTATCAACCTACCTCAGGAGACTAACGATACACGGAAAATGGGAGACCAACCGAATACTCAAATTCCTTTAGAGAAAATTTTCTGAAAGAAAAAAAAATGTTTCCATATTCATTGTTAATACTAATAATGACGAATTATTAATTAATCATTGCTTTTGGTCTTCTCCTAGAGAACGTGCACATTTATGCCTTTCCATATCTATGCCTTTTACAGGTTTTTTCTCTTCTTTTTCAACAATTTTAGTCCTTTTCCTTTTTGACGAAATTTTTGTCGTTGATGGGGTATGTCTTTTTTTTTTTTTTTTTCATGTTGTTTCTTCGTAATGGTGATTGATGTATTGTGGGGTTCTCTGTTCTTGGCTTTTAATTTGCATGTGATCATTATTAGAGTTGATTTCTTGATTTCAAAATTGAGTCTTGGTTAATTTTAGAGCTTGAAAATTGAAGGTATTAGAACTCTCTGTTTTCATGATTTTTTTCGCGAATTATTCTATGATGGTATTGGAATTGTTAATTTCATTTGCATGTGTAAGTGCTCAATCTTGATGATTATGTATCATTATTGGTTATGTTGCTTTTCCATGTAGCCTAAGGTGTTTGCTTCTCATAATTTTTTTGCTATTTTTCTCATGTCCTTTTTCTATCTTTCAAATGATGTGATGTTTTATACATTGTCTTGATCACTTTATGCTGTAGATTGAAGCTAGTAGTAATTTTTAGGACCAGAGATAGTATAAGTATACGTTGATGCAACTTCAATGTTGATTTTATTTCCTTCACTTCCAATGTTGCTTGTTGTTTGAAGTGCATATGGAAAAAAAATTTGAGTGGCAACTCTTTCTGAGTTGTTGAGATGAATTTGGAATTCCTTGTATTATGATTGAGCTGGTTCGAATTACCAAGGGATAAGCTGTCGGGTAATTGTATATTTACTTGGAAATTATCTGATATTTGTGTATAGTGACCCTGCAAACTGTCTGATAATTGCTTATAGTAAACCTGCAAACTGCCTGATAATTGCAAATAGTGAACTTGCTAAGTGTCTGATAATTGTGTATAGTGAACGTGCAAATTGTCTGATAATTGCATAGAGTGAACTCGCAAACTGTCTGATAATTGTGTATAGTGAACGTGAAAATTGTCTGATAATTGCATAGAGTGAACTCGCAAACTGTCTGATAATTGTGTATAGTGAACGTGAAAATTGTCTGATAATTGCATAGAGTGAACTCGCAAACTGTCTGATAATTGTGTATAGTGAACACACAAATTGTCTGATAATTGTGTATAGTGAACTGGCAAACTGTCTGATAATTGTGTATAGTTAACTTGCAAGCTGCTTCTGTTGTTGAGACAGCCTTTTGGATGAAATGTGTTTCCCTTTTTTTGATTTATGGAGGTCAGGGATATATTGATTTCATAATGTCTGTTTTCTATGTGATTCAGACGTTCTCTGAATTGAAGACCACACTCTAGTTACCATGATGGATTCAATCCTGGATCGTGTAGCTAAAGACTGTGGTAGACGGAATAGCTCGAGTCCATCCACTAGTGGGGACATCTTTGAGCCTTCGTCAAGTAGTAATGGTGAGGCTGAAGATCCAAAACATTTAATACCATGTATTTGCTGAACAAACTCTTGCTTGGGCTGATTTTCTCTTGGACTGCACTTTGTTATGTCTACAGCTAAGCTACGGGCAACTTTGGTAGTGTGGATAAACGGCCTTCTTCCTTCCTTATGTTTGCCAGTAAATGCTTCTGACGAGGAGTTACAATCATACTTGGTTGATGGTACTATCTTGTGTCAATTGTTGAACAAGTTGAAACCAGGTTTTATACCAGAGGTAGTAGTAATATATCAGATTTTACAGTAATTAGAAGCTAGGGTTGGTTTTGTTTTGATGATCTGACTTACTGCATCTTTCATTCTAGTTTGGTGGTTCAGGCCTTTCTTCATCGTTAGGCTCAGAAAATGTAAAACGGTTTCTGTCAGCTATGGATAAAATGGGCTTGCCAAGGTTTCAAGCATCAGATTTAGAAAAGGTTAGCATTAATATAGAGTTGTGCTCTTGTGTTCTAATATATGTTCATTATTTTGTGTCTCATTGTCATTATCTAAATGGTTGAATGTGTTAATTCACAGGCCATAGAGTTGTATGTATTATAATATGCAGAGAAGTGTAACTTTCTGTACCTTTAGGTACAAATTACACATCATTTTTCTGCTTTTAATTAATTTATTCACTCTGATACGTTATCCAGGGGTTCATGAAAATTGTTCTGGAGTGCCTTTTGACACTTCGAGGAGAATTTATGCCGGATGTTGGAGGATATGGTTCGACCACACCATTATCTCGCAAATCTGGTTCTGATGTAGCTCACAGACAAGAACTGTCGAGTACTCATTCTTCCCCATCCTCAGCAGAAGGGAGACGAAAGATAGGATCAGATTCAAAGTTCCAGCGTGCTTTGAGAAGGCCCGTGATGGCAGGTCTGGTTGTTTAAATCTCATCCCTTGACCCATTCTTTTCCATGAGGGAAAGATGGAGACTTGGTTTCCTCTTATAAATTGTTTCATTTGAAAGATTCACTAAAGAAAATGCAATAGGTATAACATGGCAGGGCCTTCCTTCAATGTCATTATTCATCAAGTGTTCTATTTCACATTTGTATTGAAACTGTCAATCCTCTTCTGGTCTTTTTAGCTGAAGAATTAAACTATTGGTGAATTAGTTTTAGATCTTTATGTTCTAACTACTTTCTAAAACTCCACTTATGATTTTTTTTTCCTTAGATTGTTGACTTCTTTTGAACTTTATATAGAGCCATCAGCTGCATTACTACATCACGTTGGACACAAGTTCCATGAAGTATTTCAGCTTAAACAAGGGGGCTATGCTGATCTTCCCCCCTCAAAGATTTCCGAAATGATGAAATCTAACAGCTTGGATGTTAGTAACATGTTCTTTTTTGTCAGTGAGCTTGACTAGATTTTACATCTGAAATTTTGAATTCATACTTATTGCAACTGATTGTTTTGCACCCAGATTGCCCCAACACAGTCACTTCTAAGTGTTGTGAATGAGATTCTTGATGAAAGCATTGAGCGGAAGAATGGAGAGATACCTCATGTACGCACACTAGAGATAAAGATATTCATGATTATGTTCTTTACTACCCGAATAAATAAATAAAATCATGGCCTAACATCATTTAGTTGTTTAACTCTGTCAGCGTGTAGCATGCTTGTTGAGAAAAGTAGTGCAAGAAATTGAGCGGCGAATCTCTACTCAAGCTGAACATCTTAGAACGGTATAATATACCTTAGCTGTTTCCCCCAAATTCTCTTGATAATGAACCTTGCTCATGACATTTACTCTGCCTGTAGCAAAACAATCTATTCAAGACTCGTGAGGAGAAATACCAGTCACGGATCCGAGTCCTGGAAGCCCTTGCAACTGGGACTAGTGAAGAGACGCAGGTAGTGTAAAACTACCCTTTCTGTGAAAAAGTTCTTGAAGTCTTAGAAAATCTTACTTCTTCAAGAGTTAATGCATCCTTCACCCACACAGTCTTTTATTTCAGATTGTCATGAACCAACTTCAGCAGATTAAGGTAGTTCACCACCTCTCTACTCTGCTTACAATTTATCATTACTTGTGCTATATGAAATTTGCTATTGATTCAAAAGGATCTGATGAGACTCGTTTCTGCAAAGAATATTTAGCTGATTATGATTCTTTTCCACGGTTTTAAAAGTTTAGCATCCTTTTTTGAATTGAAATCATATTACAGAGTGTAAAAATCAAAATGGATGCGGAAAAGAGAAATGAGGATCAGGATGTGGTTAGATTGATGAAGGAGAAGGATGATCATAGTCAAGAGATCGCAGCTTTGAAGCAAGAACTAGAAATAGCTAAGAAAGCACATGAAGAACGCTGCCTTGAAATGGAAAAAGAGGCCAGAAATACTCAACAAAAGCTTGAGGAGAGGTTGAAAGACGTTGAGATCCTTTTAAAAGAATCACAACACAGAGCAAAAGAACTCGAGACATTTTCTGAATCAAAATCACTGAAGTGGAGCAAGAAGGAGAATGTGTACCAAATATTTACAGAATTCCAGCTTGGTGCATTACGTGTATGCTCTGATCTTTTTCTCTTAATTTGTGTATAGTTAGTTGTTTATCACATCTGATCTGGATCTCCATAAACTTCAGGAACTGAAGTTTGCTTCTCAGTCAATAAAGCAAGAAGTAGTGAAAACACAACGGAGCTATGCAGAGGAATTCAATCAATTAGGTCAGTGCTGTATGAATAACATTTATTGGAAGCATATAGGTGTAAGATGTCAAAACAGATTTTACAGTTAAGTAATTGTGTTGGATTTTTCTTATTAAGTTAAATTTCTATGACAGGTGTAAAATTTAGAGCACTAGACCATGCAGCTGCAAACTACTCTGTCGTCCTTGCTGAGAATCGCAAACTACACAATGAGCTGCAGGAGTTAAAAGGTGTTGTTATATCACGAAATTTTAGTATTAAGAGGATGGAAGATTTCTCTCCTTTTACTGTTGTTTATGAATCTTTTTTAAATTAGGAAATATTAGAGTGTATTGTCGGATAAGGCCATTCCTTCGTGGACAAAAGGAGAAACAGACAGTGATAGAATATATCGGAGAAAATGGGGAGCTAGTTGTTGTAAATCCTTCCAAACAAGGGAAAGAAGGCCGTAGGTCTTTCAAGTTCAATACAGTCTACAGTCCAGCTTCAGCACAAGGTTTTCAGATTCCTCCAAACTATGCCAGATAAAATTATTCTATACATATTCTGTAAATTTAACTTCATGCAATGTATAATTTCACAATCTCTATCTCTGCAGCTCAAGTGTATTCAGATATTCAGCCCTTGGTACAGTCTGTGCTGGATGGTTATAATGTATGTATATTTGCCTATGGACAAACTGGCTCGGGAAAAACGTACACCATGGTAAGAATGACATCCTGTGTAATCTGTTAAATATGTTTACACATCGTTTAACATTGCTGAAGCAAGTTAAATTAACCTCCAGACTGGTCCCGATGGAGCAAGTGAGGAGGATTGGGGAGTCAATTATCGAGCTTTGAATGATCTTTTCAGAATTTCCCAAATGAGAGAGAGCACTTTCAAGTATGAAATCAAAGTTCAAATGATGGAAATATATAATGAACAAGTTCGTGACTTACTGTCAAGTGATGGTTCTCAAAAAAGATATCCTTTACTAAATTTCAATCTTTTTACCTTTCTTGGCATTATCTCCATTTTTCTACATTAAACAAATTGTCAATTCAAAAAGTATTCTACCAAAATTTTTAGTTGTCCCTTTCTTTTCTCCCATGTTGCATTTCCTACAATTTCAAAGAATCACAAAAGATCGATATTATGTTTGCAATATATATCATGCATCTTCAACTGTTTTCCTTGATTTGCACACACTTGGGATTCTATCTACCTCTCAAGCCAATGGGTTAGCTGTCCCAGAAGCAAGCATGTTCCCTGTCAATGGAACCGCTGATGTCTTAGATTTAATGGATACGGGATTGAGAAATCGAGCAAAAGGTTCCACTGCCATGAATGAAAGAAGTAGTCGATCACACAGGTTCAGACAACTAATCATCTCTGAATTTCAATATTTAAAAATACCTGTTTTTCCTTTAAATTTTGATAGGTGACATAAATAAACTTATTGCAATATATTGCCAGTATTGTAACTATCCATGTCCAAGGGAAGGATATAAAGAGTGGCTCATCAATGCATAGTAGTCTTCATTTGGTGGATCTTGCTGGAAGTGAAAGGGTAGATCGCTCCGAGGTGACAGGAGATAGATTAAAAGAGGCACAACATATAAATAAGTCATTATCTGCTTTAGGAGATGTCATATCTGCTTTGGCACAAAAGAATGCTCACATTCCATACAGAAACAGCAAGCTCACTCAAGTCCTTCAGGCTTCATTAGGTAATTCTCTTTCTATACAAAAAGGCTTTGCTTTCACTTCATTTGGTAATTCTCTTTTTGCAGTAATTTATAATTCTATTTTGTTGTACAGGTGGTCAGGCAAAGACACTTATGTTTGTGCAGCTTAACCCTGAAATTGGTTCATATTCAGAAACCATGAGCACATTAAAGTTTGCTGAAAGAGCATCTGGAGTAGAGCTAGGTGCTGCTCGAAGTAGCAAGGATGGCAGAGATATCAGAGAATTGATGGAGCAGGTGCTCTATTAACTTTGTAGTTCTTCTAGATTAGAGACTTTTAATTGCTGTACTAGAATTGATGATGCAATATCTTTTTTCTTAGTCCAATTACCTAAACATGTGGCAAGTATACCCTCTCGAGTAAATTACTTTTGGACTAAAGAAGAGAATTTAGGTATTCAAGTAAGCTGGCAATAAGACGAGACTATGGTCTGGCAATATATTAGTTGGCGATCGGTTATAGTACCATAAACAAGATGTTCAAAGCTATTTACTTACATATTTATAACACCAAAATCTAATGCAACAATTTTCATAAGAGTTTTAGGCAGGATACCAGTAGAACTACCCATGATCTTGTTTAGAGACTGAAGATCATAGGAGTAGTGTAGTTTGACTACTGGGTTTCTATAACCTGGATTTTTTCAGAAAGAGCTTTTTCCATTAAGCAGCTTCATTCTATTATCTCGCTGGAGCTTTTCCTTATTCTTCGAAAGATGATATTACTGCCTGACTTCCAATTTCCTGCATGTGAAATATTGTCCTTTGTTAACTTTTAATCTTCCAGGTCGCGTCTCTCAAGGATACAATAGCTAAGAAAGATGAGGAGATTGAGCAACTACAGCTGCTCAAAGTTCAAAAGAATGTTTCTCCAGAAGCCAATGGTGAGAAACGCAGTCCAAGCTCATTCAGGTATGGCTCTTCATCTCCAGGCAAACATTTATTTCAGGGGACTTAGCATGTAGCATGAAATTCTCTGGTAGATGAGACTCCACACTTAGTGAGAAAGCAGCATCTGATAAGGGCTTAAAGAGTAGTGATAAGAATTATTTAGCTAGTTTCAAGAATTATAGTGATGACTGATGAGTTTGGACACCAAAAGAAGTCTCGACTGAGACTGCTGGACGGACTTTAAGTCAGAATATTTCTGCAGATGCTGATATATTTGTGTTCAGCGACGCAGATAATGAGGAAAGACTAAGTGATATGCTATCTGATAGTGGTCTTTCTGTGGGCACAGAAACTGATGAATGTGCTGAAAGTGCCAATCCTTTCCCTGAAGGATACAAACGACCAGAGAACACAAATAAGTAAGTAAACATCATCTTGGCATGCTTGTGCTTTCTACAGAACGTTAATTTCTTTAGTCATCGTAAGAGAATAAAGATCCTAGAGCTTTATTCTTATTTATTCAAGTAACTCCAGGTACCCTGATTGGCTAATGTAGAAATTTTATATAGAAACTAAACTATCTTAGATGTTGTTATTAACTACATGGAAAAGGTAAAACAAGTAGGTCAAGGATTCATATAGGGACTTAACTGTCATCTGAAATGTTGTTATCAACTCATTATATGGGAAAAAGTAAAGCAAGTTGATCAATAATTTAAGTAATACTTATTGCTTATGATGAAACTAAAAGATACAGGAAGTTCGTAGACTTAACATCACTCCTCTGAGTTAAGGTATTCCAATTTCTGGACCAAGAGTATTGAACTAGTGGATTTTTTCTGATTAACTTAACCCAATTGCTTGACTATCATCCTACACGGCCTTTTGCAGACACAAAACTGCACATAAGATTCCTAGACCTCCACAAAAATCAGAGAGGGATTCTCCAAAAGCCTCAAACGGTATGTTGATTAAGCATGACATGTTCAAAGAAAACCCCTCGGCTAAAGATTAGTAGTGTAATTGGAACTTCTTCAATATGTTTCAGGTCTGCGGAAGTCGACCAGTGCAGCCAATATGTTGGCTAAATCTACCAAAGGTGGCAGTAGGTGGCAGTAATATGATGTAGCAGTTGTGCTTATCAAATTCCCTTCTTTCTTGTGCAGCCCCTTAATCGGCATTTGCACTTTCATGAAGTTTTCCCTACACTTCTCAACTGTACAGATTCTTTTCATTAACCAGGGAGTCCCTCTTAGAGTCTAGGACTATACATGACCTTTTGCTATTTTTCTTCTCTTTTATATGGAAATGCAGGGGGGAGGACCGAGTTGTGATGTACTACACTCAAATTTTTTTCATAGGTTTCTTTTTTTATAAGGAATTCAGTGAGTAAAGCTTATATAAAGTCTGTTGAGTTGTAACATACTGGTTTTATCAGTAATTTATCTTCTTGTTACTCTTACTCTGCATATACTTCAACATCTTGTTTTGATGGAGATACTTCTAGCAGCCTTTCGAGTCACTGCTTCTCGAATATTAAGGTCATCAAAGAGACATGACTTGCAATTCAGTTTGAAACACAAAATGTACCATTTTATTGCAGAAACTTGAAATATTTCACATTTCACTAAAAACTTCTCCCAAAAGCAACTCATGAAAATATTCCTCCATAATGACAGTGAACATACACACAGTCGAAGAGGCTATCTTTCCTTAGGATAGAAAATAACTAAGAGAAAAAAAGTGTAATTTCCCTTTTCTTTTTCTTTTTTGAAGGAAAAAAAAAAGTGTTTTTATGCAGATATGATGTTCAAGAAGTGAATGAGCTATATGTGAGCGTCAAGGCATAGAACTACATTCCTTGTCTGTACACTCTCTTAACCGTTTTCGCTCAATCTTTCAAACATTTTCAATAAAGATAATGTATAGGCAAAAGTCCTATTTCGCGAATGATAATTCAACTTTTACTTTTTTTGTACCAAAGTTGCCAAAATATTTTTTGTAACAAAAATGTGCCATGTACGTAAATGTCTTAATGTCTTCTAACTTTTGGCGAAGAACTATTTACATAGTAAAAGCGAAGGATGAAAAATCTAAGGGCAATCAAGTACCACTTGGCATATATTCTTTGCTTTATTAATGATTTTTCCATAAGCTTCCCCACCTAATTCTACATTCAATTTAAAGCAAAAATCATATATTTGGTGTATGGTGAATTTAATACCACCAATTCCTTACCAAAAGAGATTATTAGAAGCAAGCAAAAACAACCAAAAAAAAAAGTTTTGTTGCAACTAAGGATATTTATATATTAGTAATAATAATATTTAAAATCATCAAATACTCTATTATATAACATATCATATTTTTCTCAACGGCATACAAGTTATAGTCAAATATGTAAAAGGAATCTTTAAAATAAAGTATCGTACACATAATTCCTAAGGCGCGGACACTGTCGGAAAATGCACAAGGCTAACAATAAGGCGTGCAATAGATTTGCCACAAACTTTTATATATGTAGTGAAATGCATTAAATATGTAAATTTAAAATTTAGAACTCAATACATTTGAAAATCGTCATTGTAAAATATAAAACCTATAAAATCAAATTTTGACTCCATCTTTGGGTTTAACTCTTCAACTCCATCAGACTTTAGTTTCTATAGTCGTCTTAGTCAGTGGTGATTCAAGTTAATTAGTGGCCTAAATCCAAAAATGAGTCGAAGACCTAGCTTTTATTTTTTTTATTCTTGAAATCCAAAGTTATTTCTCATTTTTAATGAAAAATCTTTATTTTTTCAATGGTCTTAAACTATATATATAAATCAAAGTATTTTTTAATCTTACGGTCTTAAACATGTCATGTGGAAGTTAAATTAAAAAATTGACAAAAAAGAAAAAAACATTCTTTAATATTTGGAAACGAAGAAAGACGCAATATTTTTTTTTGTTAAAACAATACTTATAATAATTCTATTATTACTTTTTAAAAAAAAGCCTAAGACGGATGACTCATTTTTAAACGCAGTGATCCGCCCCGGTCGTAGGACATAAAGAGACTATTCACTCTTTGAACCTGTTTGGATTTGGATTAAGTCAAAATTTAAGAATTCTTAACTTACGGTGTTTGACTTATTTTTATCAGTTTAACATGAATCAAGTGCTTATAAGCACATTTTTAATATATCTGAACACTCCAAAAGTGATAAAAGCTTATTTTAGCTCTAAAACACACCATTATTGGAATTTTGTTATTTTTAAGTTAATATTTGGAGGAGGACTAAATAGAACTGAAAAATAAAATAAAAAAATCAGTCCATGTAGTCTATGTATAAACAAAACTCAAAAAGTGAAAAAGCAAAGCAGGCTCGAATCTGCCATATCCACCAAAAAGATACTTGTAAACAAAAGTTATAACATAATGGGGGACCAAAATATTAAAGTCTGAGATTATCATTCACAAGTTGGATTGGTTCTCCATGTTGTATAAACATGGGGCCATCGTGACAACGATAAGACTTGTACCTAAGTTAAGAGCATCTTCTTTTTTTTAAAATATACATAATGACTCACAACCACAAAGCACCAAACACATACCAAACAGATTAACAGACTCACGTCATTCTTTATAAATTGTTTACACAATATGCAGGCAAAGGTGTCGTCTTCTAGTCAATAAAATTGATTAAAAACATAGAATCGAGATGCACACAAACTGACCAAAACACGAGAGGTTTAAAAAACCAAATGCATAATAGTCAAGAAAGAGATGGGCAGCCCATCAACAGAGCCAACCTAGCCTATAGACAAACTAGTCAGCAATCAAATTTTTCTTTAAATGCGACAACTTGCTAAACATAGCACCCCACGCCTCTAATTTTCTTCCTTAATCTCAGGAGGAGATTAATTAGACAAACTCAACCAACTACATCAAATAACCATATATTATAAGAAAAAAAATCAATCCACGTAGTCTCCAATGTTTCCCCATCACAAAATATTCCCTTCCAAGCTATTTTTAATAGCAAAGGAATCATGGCATACCCTTTATAAAAGTTGAAAATCTGTGAACAGAATCACATAGTAGTGGCGATAATCATGCTACTGAACATTGAATAATTTGAACATGATTCATTATCAAAGTTGAAAATACTCACTAACACGTGCTTCACTCCATCTGTACTGCACTTTCATTAACAAAGCAAGTAGCAGGCCAACAACAAAACAACAACATACCCAATGAAATCCCACAAGTGAGGTCTGGGGAGGGTAAAGTGTACACAGGCCTTACCACTACCTCATGGAGGTAGAGAGACTGTTTCTGAATGACACAAAGTAGTGGCAGGCCAAGAATAGAAAACTAGAACTAAGTAGAATACAAGACAAATGAATTTGTAAGAACTAAGAAGACCATCTTTTCCCATCAGATTAATATTACAACGAAGGAAGAACTCCTCCCTCTTTGAGTCTTCATGCTACAATAAGTACTCTCAACTCATATCTTGTTCTAAATGCTATAAAGGAAACCTAGTCACTCCCAAAGTCTTATCTCTTTCTTTGGGGCTACTATTACAGTTTTATTCTTTTGGACATAAAACACTCATTCACCCCCTTCTCTCACAATATACACATTACTGGATTTGAATGATAAGAGAACAAAACTCATCAGCAAATTGGACTAAACTCTCTTTCTGTCACTCTATATATACAATGCTAAATGAATTTGGTGTAGGTTTCTTGCGCCTTTCCCCAAAAATCTCTTCTTTATATCTAATCTTTTACGATGTTGGTTATTCAACATCGAACATCTCTGTGTCAGTAGATTTACCTAAGCTACAGCTGAGATGCCGCAGTTACCGCGACAATTGAAGCCTTCAATCCTCACAGGAGCTTGCTTGTTCCCAAACTTCACTCGAACACAGCCTCCTCCGCTCATGATGGTGGAGGAGGGTGGTGGTGGTGAGGGTGCCACTGCTCTTTCTGGGATTGGCAGTATGGGAACAAAATTGTGGTTGCCAAATTGGGCATCTTGGATCAGGGGATTCCCAGCCCTACTGGGTGGAGATCCATAAAAGAACGGTGGAGATGAATCGACCTCAAAATTGGCTCTATCAACTTCATAGCTCCCCTGTTCATAGAAAAATTAGAACTTGTCAACTACCAGTAACTGAATAAGTTGTTAACTTAAGCAAACTAGATCATCCAGAAACAAATCAACTATTTTTCTTTGAAAACACTGTTTAGAATGTCTTACATCTTCAAATTAACTAGTACTATAAAATTTCTTACAAAGCAGAAAATCACTAAGTTATAGTAGTTTCAAGCTTATGTTGCTCGAACTCTTCAAAAAATGTCAAAACTGCAGCATCGAAAGTGAAGAGTCTGCGCAACGCTGCAACCTAGGTCTCAGCTATTTAATTCAAATGAGTTTCCCAAACTCCCTTTGCTCACTAGAAATTCCCCCAAAAAAATGTGCAACAACAAAGAGGTATGACAGAAGTTTTCAGTTAGCCACCTACATAAAACTATATTTTTTTCATCCAAAGGAGTTAAAATTAAGCAGATCTACTTGAGTCCCACTTCCAAAAAAGAGGAACAAGATTAGATTTTTCTATTAAAAAAGTCACCTTTGTAAGGATGATATCCAGCAGCTCAGCTCCAGCTTTCAACTCACAAGCCTCCATTTCTTCATTTCTAAAAACCCAAAATCAAAAACACCAAATAAGCAAGAGATAGAAAGAAGAAGAAAAAGGAGATAAATTGAATGTTGGTTAGAAAAGGGGCATACATAAATTGCATCAGTTGATAAGGTCTGATGGGTTCTTCAACATTAACAGAGTCAGAATCGAAGAACCCAAGCTTACGGGGCTTGGGACAAACGACACCGTTCGACACAGAAATGTCTGCTCTCCCTGTTTCTCCAACTCCAACACAACCCACCAAGGCCTTCTGTTGATAAGCATACATATTCATCTACTTCTTTTTTCACGTTCACAACAGATCCAAAGCCTGAAAATCAAAAAAATGTTTATAAAAACTTGAGATCTTTACTTCCATATATATATATATATATATATATATAAAATTGAAATTACTATATATAAACATAGAAGAAAAAAAAAGAGATGGGTTGATGAGGAAGGAGGAGGTAGGGGTTACCTGGTGGGCTAACAAGTGGATGCCTGTGGAGGGGAGAGAGAGATTTGTGGGGAGAGTGAGGCGGAGATAAAAAGAGAGAAAAGAATTGAGATTGGGGCAGACTATTCATAGGAGAGAAGAGAGAGAAAGAGTTTAGGAGAGAGAAACTAATTAGTACT